ATAGACTACATAATTCTTGTCTTGGTATAAATAAGCAATTTCTAAAGTTGTGGATAAATAGATCCAAAACTTTCAGAATAGCCCAAGTTCATCTTAATATTTCGTCAGATGCACTATTTTGTCAGAATATTACTGATTTGTTAATAATTCGTCTCTTTAATGTCTTTTTCTTAATATTTTTATGTTATATTTTTATGTTAAATATGTTATATTTATATTTTATATTGTATCTTTAAACAAAAATTACATAAAAATTATTTTAAGTAAATGCACATCACAAACTCATTCTACTGTTCCTATAATAATAAATAATAAAAAACAATAGCCAATGCTGGTAATGGTTATTGTGATATCTGACAGATTTGACTTTACTAAAATAATAAGAGTTATTAACGTTAATTCAGTTTTTGTGTTCAGTTTTGCAATTTCTTCATATTATTACAAATGTAGAAATTACATCCGGATAAGGAATTGAAAAGATGAGAGAGAGAATGTACGCTATTGAAGCTCTACTAAAAGAGGGGAATGCAGGATGAAGGTTATAGCATAAGATCTGTTACCTCCATTTCCTCTAATGACGCTGAAATAGTTCTTGCAGTGCAAAAATCAATTGGAAGGGAATATCAACATGAGAAAACAATTTGTAAGTATATTATCATATTTATTAAATATTACTTTAAATGCTTGTATTGTCCGTTAGGAAAATTGTGTTTGCTCAGAAATTTACTCGCCATGTTATAACTTTTGAATTTCGTCATATTTAATTTCTCGTGTATCATCAAGGACTTTTTTATTTGCATATATTAAATTTGGTAATTTTATATTGAGCATTATTGAAAAGGATTTGATATAATATTAAAGTATGACATAATGCAAATAGAGAATTAAGTTACAAAATTGCTACATAAAAAGATGTATGATGATCGGTACTAAATTAACCGTCGACTGAACTTATTTTTAAACATGTATTTTTAAACGTATATTCATTTTCGCTGTCGTATATACATTTCTTCCATTTATATTCCATTTGTGTGTATTTTTTATAACTATATCACAAGAACATATGTCGAATCAGAGATTCGAAGGGTAAGTCGACGGGTAACAGTTTATTAGAAATACTTTATCACAAATTATCTCTAATGAAATAGCCACTCAAATATCATGGAGAAGAGTGGTGGCTTTAAATCCATAACCAAACTAATAATCGGTAACATTTATTCCATTATACTACTTTCCCAACGATTAAAACCTTTTTGTTTGAGATTGGAAACAGCCTTTTGCATGCATCTTCGTGATGTCCATGAAATTCATCATAAATATTATTTAAAAATATCGATGACCTAAATATAATACTACATATCAAAGGCCCCTACAGCTTACAAATAATATTAACAAGTGTGAATTACATAAATGCGAAAATTATATTCAAAATTAGATTGTAAGATGTCTACTATTTCTGATATCAGATAAATGTCCAACTAACTACATCCTAGTCGTCTTAATACTTCATCATGCTAGACAGATAATTTTGGAACGTATGGGCTTGGTTGCCCATATTAAGGTTATAATATCTCAGTCAAAAATGAAAAAAATGATAATGGAATCGACATCGATTCGACGTCGATTTGATGTCGATTTCATTATCATTTCTGGGTACAGAGTATTCGCATCTGCTATTTTTAGTACTTTTGTCACTCTCTTGCTCCTTTTCCCAATCCCTTGCTCTCTCTCCACTCCGCTGCTGAGCTGAGAAGATTGAAAAGAGAAGAAAGACAGTTGAGAGAACAAAGAGTGGGGAAAGGACTAAAAAATATATTATAGAATGTTCTACCTAGTGTTTTACACTTGTTGTGTTTTACATTTGTTTGAAACGTGCAAGTTCTTGTTGATTGATTATTTAAAAAAAAATTTGCAAAAGTGGAAAAGTATAATAAAAAAATAAACTTATTGCCTTATATTTAATTGGTTAAAATATTATTTTATATTTTTATTTTTATTAATGCAATTATTTTAATTGTACATATTTCAGATTCGGTGATGAAAGGGTTACCAGGTCTGCCGAATTAGAAGAAGCCATCAAAGAATAGTTCCGCTCAAGACAGAATAAGAAGCATAACAA